TTCTAGTATGTCGGAGGAGGGGACAATCCATTGTTCACTGTCTGCAGGTGGTCTTACAGTTGTAAAGCTGCTGCATCTCTGCCCTAATGAAGACATCTGAATGAAAGATTCTTGATCAACTGGAGCGTCTCAAAGCACTAGTCATCGACTGAAGGCTTAACTGCACTTTAAGTAACAATAAAGCGCTTTAAGTGGAATAATGAGTCCATCAGATGCAGTAAGATATTAATGTGTGAAGCGCAGTGTGTCTGTGTCACCTGACCCTGCTAATTTTACTTTAATAAGGGATTTTTAGAGATCACACAGGCTTGAGATCGCAGAGCATTTGTCTACACCATTTTAACCCTGATATGTGACAATTCATTCCTATACTTTTCTCCTCAGCTTCAAGTTAAATTATATGAGAAGCAAGGCCTTTGAACTGACAAAGAACAAGAAGAGGCTCTTCAGATGACAGAAAGGATGTATCATGCTATAGTGCACAACGTGACAATTTCCAGCATAAAACCATCTTCAGTTCCAGTTGGTAACAGCTTCTTTTATGAGTCTGTGATTTCCAAACATTTCAGCAGAAGAACTACATAATTTGGTACTAATAACAGTGGAAATTTCTGAGACAGTTATCATACTTAAGATTTGAGTTTATGCTGAATTTAGGATCAGATTTTCAGAGGAATTTAAAGTATAGTATACAAATTTCATCCACTGTGGAAACTTCTTCATATTGAATTATACGCTTCCCTGTAGACTAATTTCACATGCCAGATGTTTTTGTGTGTTCACTAAAAAACAATGTGCCTACTGACCTCTCTGTCTGCAGCTGTAATTTGACCAAAATAACAAAGCTCTTTCCAGGAAATTCCCTCTGGGAAATTATTAGGAAATTGCTTAAACTATAAAAAAAGAAAAAAAGAAAAAAAAAGAAACCAGTCAACACTCAAACAGCCACCAATCAGGAGAAAGGTAAAGGCAGAAAGTTCCTTACATGAAGTAAACATCTTTTTTAGTGTAGTGAAAAGGCATTAAGGGGTGAAACTACAAAGTGTGACAATTTGTGCGTTTCTCACTGTTTGACAGTGTCACACATTGATTAGTAAATCGACAGGAAAATAATCGAGTCAAAGAAATGCCAAACATTCTCGTATTCAGCTTCACAAATCAAGAGGATGTGCTACTTTTATTTGTCACACTATTATAGATCCATCTAGATGCTCACAGCTTCAGTAGCTGGGCGTCCTCCATTTGGCGGATCGACAGTGATGGCCAATCACTGAACCATTTTCTCCTGGCTTCCAGCTGAACTCCTCCAGCCATGTTTCAGAGCCAACATCCTTCCGCTCCCTCCCTGTTATTCACAGAGCGGTGAGCGTCTTGCACACAGGCGGTTCCAGGAAAACCCTGCAGCCAGCATCAGTTGGAAAAAGCAAGGCCTGGAACTCTGTGGCTTTCGTGTCTGTGTCCTCTTTACATCCGTCTTCCCACGGAACAGTCAGTTCTATCAGGATGACTCCCTTAAGACCATATGACTATGTCAGGCATCATGGTGACAACCTGGGGGAAGTTTAGTCATCTTCCACCATTGTGCTGTCTGCAGGAGGCTCTTCTTGGTCGTGTTAGAGAACAGTGGCTTCTCCCACTCCCTGATGAACTGGATGAACAGGGCTGTTCTCAAGTGGGACTGACTCTTTTTCAGTCTCTCTTGCTCCAAGATATCTGCTGGTGCTCTGAGAACCTTGTCATGACGCCATCTGTATCTCCCCAGTCTTGCACCCCACCAGTGTGTGCGCCAACGTGCCTCTCCCTGCACACAGCATGCATAGTGGGCCCCCTCCCTAATTCCCCACCTTTGCAGGTTTGTTGGTGTTGGCAGTAGTGATGTCGGCCCGATTAATCGTCCAACCGATATCTGGAATTTTAAGATAATTGTCCACGGCCGATGCCAGCACTGACGAGGCCAATATGCAAGCAGTGTCTGCAGGCAGCTATTTTCTTTGTTTTGATGTTGGCTAAATGTTGGCATCGGCCTTTGAAAAATCCATATTGGTTGACCACTAGTTGGAAGATTGTCGTACACTGTATGAAGAAGGAAAAAGATTTAAATGTGCCCCGGTCTTTGCACCTCATGTTCGTAAACTGATGGACTTTGGACATTTGAAAATGTCTCTTTGGATCAGTGATGTTTTGATGGTCAATTTTTCCAGCATCACTGGGACGTGACATATTTGGCACAGGAACCAGGCAAGATGTCTTCCACAGCACATGGACCCTACGGAGACTCAGGCTGAAGACGTGGTGAAGGACTCCACATAGCTGGGGGGCACAGGCTTTGAGCACCCCGGGACGGACACCGTCAGGGCCTGCAGTCTTGTTGGAGTGGAGTCTCCTCATCTGTCTTCTCATCTGGTCAGCAGTGAGGCACACAGAGGTTACAGGTGGGGGAGGGGGAGAGGAGGAGTCATCAGGCTGGTGAGAGCTGCTAACCTGAGAGCCAGAGGAGGGGGGGGGGGTTGGTGTCTCACAGGAGGGTGGGGGACAGTGAGGAGGAGGAGGAGGAGGAGGAGAGTAGTGGGGTTGGAGGTGTTTGAGGTGTTAGAGGTGAGACAGCAGCTGAGTTAGTGGGGGGATGGGCAGGAGCCATTGAGTCAGATCTGTTAAAGAACAGATTAAGTTTGTTGGCCCTGTCCAAGCTGCCTTCAGCTCCTCTGCTGCCAGTCGGTCTGAAGCCAGTGATGTTCCTCATGCTGCTCCAGACCTCCCTCATGTTGTTCTGCTGGAGTTTACACTCCAGCATCCTCCTGTACCTCTCCTTAGCCTCCCTGATCTTTACCTTCAGGTCCCCCTGAATGACCCTCACCTCCTCCCTATTACCATCTCTGAAAGCCCTCCTCTTAGCATTAACAAAACGAATACAGCCGACAAACTAACTACTGATAAAAACAATCAAATGGTGAAATTTCTTCTACATAACTTCTTTTTACTTCTACAAGTTTCACTATTTGCTTTCCTAATGGTAAATACTGGATAGTTTTTCACCCTTCAGGCCTCTAAAAACTATTCAAAAGAAATATTCTGTAAAGGGAACATCACTTTGGTTGAGCTGCTTGGAGCTTGTTGACAAATGCCTCATGTAACAAGAGAAGAATTCGTGTTGCTTTAAAGTGTCACAAGCCGGACATTTACAACACGTTCTGTATTTCCTTAAATGTGGGCCTTTTAAAACCTACGTCAAACTCAGTGTCGAGTCAAATCCAGCACTCATCACTTACTTGCATCAGTTTATGCTGGTATGAACGCTGCTTGCCCACACAACCTTTGTGTATTTTGTAATGGACACACTGACTAGTCTGTGTGGTTGATAAAATCTTAAAATTATAATCTTAAAATCTTGTAGAGGCTTTGGATTCAACGGTGAGTACGCTGACCATGTTTTATTTAGAGTGACATAACTTTATTTATACCTCATACAAAGACTTTCAATGAAAAGGCAGAACAATTACTTGGGAAAAATTACTTTACTAGACTGTTTTGTAATTTCGTACATTTTTCAGATGTATTTGTGAGTTCAAAAATATTACAATATTATTTTAAACTTTGAACTGTAGAAAAGTTCCTAGTAATATTTTGAGTGATTATCATTTTTCTTGTATTTCTTTGTTCCTGCCAGCTTTATACTTTCTTAAATGGCCAAAATGATGAGTTAAACTTGGACAAAAAAAGATACCAGGATAGGTTAGATAAGGAAGGTTTTGAATGTTCTAAACAAAGACTAAAATTAAACTAAACTCCTGAGTATACAAGGAAACACTTGCATCAGAATTAATGAAGCAATCCGTGGAAAAGAGCATCGTCGACTCTACTGAAGGTCAATCAAGTCCCCCAAAAAATTATAAACAACTTAATGGAAAGATTGAAGGAGAAGCGTACATGCTGACGCCTGCAGACCCTGAACCGTTCAAGGGCAGAAACACATGATGTGAGTTCTCAGAAGAGTTCAGACGGGGAGAGCGTAACTTCCCCCGAGGACACGTTAGTATAGTGAACAGAAAGCTGCCGCTATGTAGACTTGTAAAACCTGCAGATAAACTGCAACAAGCTCAGGCAGCTTTTTAGGGAGTAGACGAGGTCGCACGTTTACATCATTCATCTCAACCTGTGACCTGTGAGATAAATCCACAAGGGCATTTTACATGTGGGAGAAACAACCAAAGCAGTGAAGAGGTGGGATGGAAAAGAGGGAGGGGATGAAAGGAGTGTTTCCCCTGAATTTACTGAATGCAAAAAGTGAGTCTAGAAAAAGTCCTTGCTCTGTAATCTTTATCTGTTTGTCCAGTTATTCACAGGAAAAGGAGATATAGCACCAAGGCCCATCACTGAATGCATATGTCCTAGTTTAATCTCTTTTTCAAACTATTTTGAAAATTTTATGTTACAAGTATTCAGATTCTTAAAAATAAACTTTAATTGAAGCAGTACCCAAGTAAAAACGGCCCCAGTGACTGATGTATTATTATATATGGCATAAGTTTGTATAGTGTGTAAAAAAGATTTTACTGTTGCAGCTGACTGAGGTAGTTTTAATAACTTTATTTATGTATAGCTTAGTCCAGTGTTTCCCGTCTTCCCCAAAGGGCCACAAGATAAATCTGAGCAGTTGTGAGATGACAAATCAAGCAGGAAAGAGAAAAAAAAACAAACAAACAAAAAACTGTTCCTTTAAATACCACTGAACTTATAACATTGACATTTTTACTTTGAAATTTATGCGGGTTGAATTTTTCTGTTTGAAGTTTTACTAGTTCCTTTCCAGTCCTGCAATTTCAGGTACACATTCGGAGAAAATTCTCATGTCCAGGTTGCTCATCTTTTCTTGATCATATGACATATGTAAGTTTGGTTACTTATAACTTACTGTATGAGGTTCCTCTGGATAAACAGTTTCATTCTATATATTCTTTCCTCTGAAGGCAGACAAGTTATACAAAAGACAGCAGACGGCCGTGTGAACTTTTGCACTCAAGTGCAACTTTTATTTTTTTTTGCAAATACACTAGAAATGTTTACAAAAGCACTGTAGAAACATCTGTGCAGTGTAAATTATCAAAACTAAAAATGGATATTACTTTGAATTACTTTTGCACCTAATATGACAAGCAGGATTGTCATTTTCAGCAGCAAAAGAAAATTAGTATACATCTCAAGAGGAAACGTCTGTTAGTGACTTCAGAACATCGCAAAGGGGAGATGCGGTTGTCACACCAAAGAGCAAATTTAGGAAAAATAATAAAAGGATGGTATGGCACAGTACCAGTGCTCATCCATGAACAAGGGCTTCATTCATCTAGATCGATTACACAGCAACAATGTTTTACTTTACTCAGGTCATCAAGATAATCAGCCTTCCAGTTAAAAAAAAATAAAATAAACTCCAGTTTGACAGAAATGGTGCATTGGCACAAACACAAGTTTACTCAAGTTCTCATACTTGTCCAACACAAACAACCTTAAACCATTCATGAACACTCTTTAGACATTGTACAGGGCTCTGAAAGCTCCCAATGAGACATAATGGTCCATCTTTTACACTTTTTAGTATTTTTACCACGAAAAAAAAAATATTGATCAAAAAATTAAATGTGCTGAATATTACAGAAACAAAATAATTCTGTCTACATAAAACAAAAAGGAAATACTTCTACACAAGAGAAAATCAAAAACAAAATACATAATAGTGCGGCCCCTTACAAAACATCCACAATTTACTTCACTCAACTCTGTATTGCTTTGTATTACGTAATACTGAGATCTGCTCACAAGGAGCATGGATTACCTTGTTTGCTCTTTCACTAGGTGACAAAAAAAAGAAAGAAAACTAATCAACTACCACCAACTTGTGAATTCATTTTTTTGCCTTGATGTAAAAAGAAGGCACAAACACACATGTGCTCACACAACACTGCTGCAAATACTTCACATAAGTGGTGGCACAAATTTATATATATATATATATATATATTTTTTTTTTTTTTTAAAGACCAAAAAAAAAAAAAAAAAAAAAGGAAAAAAAGGTAGGTGGTGGTTTTGTGGCACAGCCGTTATCGGAGAGTAAACACGGCACTGGGGCAGATCTATGTGGGTTATCTTTGGTCAAGCAGGGACGAGCCAATGGGCTTGAAAGATTGGACTCAAAAGGTCAGTGTAGTAGAAGTCAGTCAGCGGAGGACAGATGGCTCAGCTGTGTGTTTGAATGGCCAGGCAACACACACACACACACACACACACACACACACACACACACACACACACCTCTCGGGATTAAAGGTCTTTCAGGTTAAGGTCAAGATTTTTTTAAAAAAGGTGGATAAAGACAGACTGAGTTTGCACAAGGCGGTGGTTGCTTGCATGTAGGTGGAATAAAAAGGCCTTTAGTGAATTGATTTAAATGAATACTCACCCTTTTTGTGCACCTCCAGCGAACTGTTAAGTTTACTAATCCTATAATAAATGCCAATTGATACATGTGATATGGTCAGATCATCTGCTAATAGAGGAATGAGTGATTCAAGTGTGATAACGTCACTAAAGTTGATAATTGTAACTGCTAATTCCAATAAATGGCAGCAAGCTTTGCGCTTTGTATCTTGTGCTCAGGTGTCAAGAAAGGTTGTCAACACAGAAACACTTCACTTTCAAGAAGAAAAAAAAAAAATAAAGCCTCTGTGTATTAACCTGGAAACAGAATACAAGCACATTATGGTATAATACCCCATACAAAATACAAGTCCACAGGTTCTGGCGCTTTTTGTTTGTTTTTGTGTTTTTTTAGCAGCAATAACAAATACAAAAGTATATCAAAAGAAGACACTCCATGTGCTGAAAAGCAAGTAACACAGAGGTGTGGATGTATGTTACAACATCCTTCATAACCAATACTAGCGAGGACAAACCATTGAAATGTACTGAACATACGGACCACCTGCATCGAAATAACCAGGACAAAAATGAACAGAGACAATGACAATACACAGGACACAAGTTCCAGGCAATGTGCAGGGAAATATTCCCCGTTGACAGTATTCTGGCCATGTGTTCACTTCCCATTAGCGACTACCACTGGGTTTGACATGTGACAACAGAAATGAAACAGACAGGGGAAAAAAAAAACCCCAAAACAAATGAAAACACAACATGACACATAAGACAAACAGTGATTCAAGTGCTGTGTGCTGCGTTTTTGCCTGAATGCCTACAGCTCCTTGGCAAACTGAATGACTGCACAGCGGTGAGTGGTGCACAGGGCTCCCTTACAACCAAAGGACTCCACTTTTTTTTTTTTTTAAGTCACAGCACTTGACAGTGTCTTTGACAGATCAGCTGTAAATATACATAATTAATTGGACAAAAGAAACCTGGTAGCCTTGTGTGAGGACTGGCTTTAGCAATCCAAATTGTGCTTTCTCTAATAAGTAACAGTGTAGACGTGCAGGAGCGGCCGACACCAGAGCAAAATTAGTGTCTTTCAGCACACCTAGGACTGCCTGCTGGATTTGGTCAGAGGTGTCAACATTTCCCCTTTACATATGTACAACAACAACAACAAAAGTGATATCCAGCTTATTTGAACAACTTATGAAAATAAAGAACACACTGAACCATTGTAAGGCAGAAAGCAGGTTCAAGTCTCCCTTGTAAGTTCTGCGGGTGTTTTTTTCCTTTTTGTTTTGAAATGTGATGGAGCCTAAAAAAAATAAATTAAAAAAAAGGTGCAACTTCATCAAGCTGATGTTGGCAATCCTAACAATTTAACACAGCTAACAAGTCATCACCTTAACTAATGATTTCCAATGACTTGGAAATGTAGCAGAGGTCTCATTTAACTAGTGTTCAGGGTTGGGGGGGGGGGGGGGGGGGGGTGATGCTGACAGGCTCAAGGAAGCATTCCAGGTGTCACACTACACTGTGTCTGCATCAAGAAAATAGTTGCCCATTGTCCATCAAAACAGGACACTGAAGTGTAAGACAAAAAAGGTATACACACTTTCACTAACCGATACTGGAAGTGTGGCGCGTCTATGTGTGTGGGTGCACTAATTAAAAGGGGAAAAAAAAATAAAAAAGGCAAAGATGTTATAAATATTTTGGCTCAGATTTTTCTTTTTATAACAAAAAGGATATGTTGAGTTCAGTTTTGTTAACAAAACCATTTTCTCCTCTTCGCCCAGGAGCTCAGAGAGTTTTGTCTTAAGCATTACGTTTTACGGGAGCTTTTCAAATCTGTTGGCTTTAAGTTCTCTCCTCATGCAAAGCCACTGATGGAGAGGACAAGAGCTGAAATACGATGGTAACAAAACCCACTGTTGTTTGGGTGAATACTAAACCCTCCTTTGAGCCACATTAGTCGGCAGGGTCGGCTCCGAAGATCGTGCGTCCGTGTACAACAGTAATAGCTATGCTACAGTGTTCCCTCAGAAGAATTACGGACAAAGGCTTGTCCTGGCCGAGCCCATCCAGAGTCCCTTCATGTTTTGGATCAAACCAGGACAGAAATGAGGAATAGCGTGTGGGAGTTGTGTTGCAGTACGGCAGGCAGTGAGAGCCATGCTCAGCAGGTAGAGTAGAGGAGGACAGACAGTCATAAGAGGGCTCAGAGAGGAGCAATGTCTTTGTTGACTAAACGTTTACTGTTGCTTGTGTCCCACCCCTTTCCCTATCCTCCCCACCGCCCCTCAAAATAAGTGAAAATGATCCCACTGTGTATGTAAACCCCCCACCCGTGGTAATGTAACACCCATGTGCTGCTCCCTCAGCCCCCATCCTGAGCTCCACACTTGGAGAGGGGATCCTTGATCAACACTTCTGGGCCTCCACTGGAGACATGGCAATGTAGGAGCCGTTTCTCATCGGCTGATTGGCTGGCGTTTCTGACGGCTCGTCGGGTTTGTCGCTGACCTGAGTGTAGGCAGTATCATCCTTCACCGTCTGCGTGGGAAGAGTCGGGAGGACAGAAGGTGTAAGTATAAAACCAATGAAGTGGCAAGACGTCAAAATATTCTTTTATACTAAACACAGACATTAAAATGGGAATAAATGTTTTGTGAAATGTTCACAGTGACCCACATTAATCTTAATATGCACCAGTTACGACAACCACCACAAGAAACATTTGCTTAAAACATATTACAAGGTGAGGCGAGAACTCAAATAGGAATGTCATGTCCTATAATGATAATTAAAAATGATAAGAGATGTGGATAATAAATTAAAAAAGGAGAATAGCAAACAAGGCAAAAATTAAAACTTACAGTAAAAGAATGAAAAGCTTCAGTAAAATCAATACGTTTTACTTCATTCTAAAACAGAAAAGGAAAAAAGGGGGTTACAGAAAATTTAAATTAGAACATGGTTAAGACAACACTTCTTCACATTGCAATTAAGCATGTCTTTATCATTCCCTTTGGCTGTAGTCACACCAAATCAGGCATTGCGGCCAACAAGGCGAGTACAGACGTTAAACCACAGTGCAGTCGCTTGCCGTTGTATCGCTCTTCAACTTTTTTGTTTGGATTTCTGGTTCACTTTTGTCCTTGTGCTACAACGGGTGTAGTGGATGTAGTGACAATCCCAAACCGCTGCACAACCCTGCGCTAATTGCCCTAACGCCTGATTTGGTGTGAAAACTCCCTTAATGCTAAGCTAAATGATTAAAATTCAACGGATGTGTATATGTTGAAGAAATAGTTTGGGTAATGTTAACTTTCTTGCTGAGAGTTAAAACGAGAAGACTGATTCCACTCTCGTGCCTGTAAGCTGAATATGAAGCTAGAGCTAGCAGCCGGTTAGCTTAACTCAGCACAAAGACTGGAAACCAGGGGATCCAGAGGTTTTGGACACAGCCAGCCTTGCTGTTTCCAGTCTTTAAGCTAAGATGAGATAACCGTCTCTTGGTTGTAGTTAGCATACAGACATGAGTGGTATTGATCTTCCAATCAATCCTCCAGCAAAAAAACAAACAAACAAAAAAAACGCATTTCTCAAAATATCTAACTATTCCTTTCACATGTTGCGCCGCTCTGCTGACAGTGAATAACCTGAGCTACAATAATCTCAGGGCAGGGTTCAGGGCAACAGTCCTGCACTACTAAAGATAAGAGGTAAACATGCACTGTACACAATTCCTAGGACTATTCTAGTTCAATGCACTTTGCTACTCAATACTGCTAAGCTAGCCCATAGATACACTGACCAAAAAAGAAAACTTCATCTACTCGTCAAAGATGTATCAACTGTTAGAAGGCAACAAAAAAACAAAACCAAACACATTTGATCCAGAATTTGCAGGAAACTTTTCATGCTGACTTTGCGGTGCAGGAATCATGCAATTAGTTAACATGCACATAGCTTGGGGTTAAAACCTGCAGCATCTCAGGAAAGTGTTAACCATGCAAAAACCCAGTCAAACTCTCAAAACACTGCAGCATTTACTGTGACATCTCTCTACTATCAGTCTAGGTTTACCCTGTGAGCTAATGCCAGTGGGTAGCGTACACGCACACTTTTCAAACCTGGGTAACTGTGTGGATTAATACTACAGTTTAGTCCACAGCAACGTAGTTCCTACCTTCTTCTGGCGGTTTCGGCACAACAATACGACCAGCACCAGCAGCAGGATGATGCCCATGCCCACAATGAGCACGGGGAAGTTTGACACAAGAGTCACGATTAGGAGCAGCGTCCTCATTTGGGATGCCGACTCATCGTCAATAGTGGCCGTCTGAGAGTCGAGAGAGGTGATTATTGATTTGTGGTTCCATTACAGTCATCAGAGCGGTTTTGTCTTAGACTATACTAAATGAGATCCTCACCTCATTTACGAACATGATGGGGAAAATGGTCTCGTTGATGAACTTGGTTTTGCTGTGGGGCAGAAGAGAGCGGGAGACGGGGTAGGTCAGGGAGGACATCTGGCTCAACATGTGGCCCGAAATTGGGACAGAGTGTGACAACAGCGAAGTGGGTCAGAGTTCAACAAATTTTGACTTACGGGAAGCCTTCGACTCTCTTCAGGATGATATTGAGCTGAGCTCTCTTGCAGGCACGAATGGGAACCCCTGTAGTCTAAAATGAGAAAGAACGGTTTCAGTGAATCTTACTACAGCTTAGCATGCTCTTTCCTATCATTCGCAGATACTGGAAGAAATTACATGGCAATCAAAACGGCAAATTCGGTCAAAAACCAAGAGATCAAGGTTCACCACAGGTTCCTCCACATGGCCTAAATCTGTTGGGGTAGTAAATATTTGCCGTACCGGTTGCAGGTCGAGGTACGTCTCGTGTTCCTCCTTGTTGGGGCTGAGCCCGTCAACAGCATTGATGTACTTCGGGTCCGCTTGATAAAAGTGGGGGAAAGACACCACAATGGGAGCGCCTTTAGGGAAGATAAACACACAAGTCAGTGACTGTTTGTGTCCTAAATATCCCTTAAGTCTAAACAACAAGGGCTGGAAGAAGATTAAAGAAGAAACGTGAGATAAGACACAAAAAGGACTGCCTGGTGTTTTGTAAAGATACCATGATAATGATTTGCAGACACAGCAGAGCTGTAGCACTAAATGCCCTGTCCTTTCCTTTAAATAATAGATCTTACCACATTATTTTCACCCTAGTAAAAACATATCATGGCTTGTTAACAGATTTTCAAATTGCAAACTCCCTATCTCACTGTACATTGGGAAATAAATACTAAGAAAATAATCAAGATTGCCAAAAGCAGAATAATGCTGCTTTTCAGTGATGCCTTTATATATTAAAGCTGCAACTACTGATTATTTTCTTGTTAATAAATTAAGTCTTTTAAATAGAAATGAATTTCACCAGAAAACAGTAAAAACTGTCCCTGAGCTAAAAGGCGACATCTTGCACTGTTTTGTTAAGTCCAACCAACAGTCAAATAAGTAGTGATTAAGTCTATAATCATTTTTAAAACACAGAGAAGCAGATGCACCATGTTCTAATTAGTTACACATTCTTTTGACTGACCAGTCTCAATTTCCAGGGATAAGGTATCATTTTATTTTATGTGAATCACCTAAGCACTGCAGAGAGACAGCTAATACTTGATTCACATTGGCAAGGCTGTAGCTAAAATATTAGAAATAATGGCAGTCGTGAGTCCTCTAAACACACCACCTACCAGAATCTGACAATTTTTACCACACTCTCAAATCTTTAATAATTTGAATTAAACATTTTTATTTTTCAGTTATATTTCTGAATATAAAAAGATCCAAATGATTTTAAGTGTTTAAGTCAGGAGGAAAAATGGTGAAACCTATATTTAATGATTATTTATTAAATCCAATCTAAAAATGGGGGTTATTATCAAAGTTGATGCTTTTGGACAAACATTTAAGCAGCTGTGTTACAGAAATTTAGTAATGGTTTCATTTATCTACAATATGATCACGCACATAAGACACTGAGAAGCTATTTTTTTTTGTTAAAAAAAAACCAACACACACACACACACACACACACACACACACAGGGGAAGCTTCAGAATGACACCACTTTGCGCATGATGATGGGGCTCCGTCTTGATTGGCTCTCAATGAAGCATCACAAAAATCCTTCCAATCAGGCTTGTGTGCATCATATGAGTCAGGAGGAGGTGGTGTAGATAGCCAATCAGGTTGTAGCACAGTAAGGGTCCCTCTAGCATCAACCTTTTTTACAATACAGTTATGTACTGACTTTGACACAGTTAAACTGTTTCCTTCCACTAAAACGTATACAAGGATTTTAAATAAACTGCATGTAAATTACAGTCTAGTATGGTCCTGGGGTTACAGTAGCATATCTTTCATTGATACTACACTGTCTTCATGGGTCAAGCCCAGCAGAGATTGCCTTATCAGAGCAATCACACTCCACTCAAATGACCAACATAAAAGACTCCAATAGCCTCCACACACAGCAGCACAGTTAATCATTGAACCGTGTATTGAGTAAAAATCTGGCATGCTGAAACATTGGGAATGTCAGATACCAGGCAGGGGACGTGGCTGCTGAGTGAAAGGACTTTTTTGGGGGGGGGGGGGGGGGGGGGTCATGAGGCTGTGAAGGGGCTTGTGGTTATTAACTGGGTCAGGCTCTATGGCAACTGAGGGGGGAAAGTGGGCAACTCCTTACCTTCTCGACAAACGCTGACTTTAAGCACCCCGGTGCCGAGACAGTCTCCAGCTGGCACGCAGAAGCCTGCGTTAGTGGGGTTGTCTTTGGGGCTCATGAGTACGTCACTAGGGGGTGCGAAGCGGTACGCCTGGATGCCTTTCACATCCACGTCTTTAACATAAGCTAGATGGATAGACCTAAGGAAAGAACACAAGCTCAGTGCCTACTCTGGAAAATCAGATAATAAGAACTATTTATTAAGTATTTTCAAAAAAAAAAAGCCTAAATAAGCAGCTTCTGCCTTCTAATTCTTTGATCTTCAAAAGCAGGTAGGCCTATACAAAGGGTGATAATCACTTCATCACAAGTATGTCGAGGTCACTCTCGTGACTTTCCCACGTGTGTTTTGACTTCGACAGCCTTATCAGAGGCTGTAATTACTACAGGCTTGGTCCTTATCAGTGAATTTGTAAGCATATTGTGTATGACTCAACCTATACTTACCTGGAAGTTCTGGTCCTCGCCCTTCCAGGATGCTTTCACTGTAAACAAATTTATAGCCACACGAGCGCATGTACATACCTGCAGAGATCAGCGGCGAAGATGTAGAGCAACTCGTTCCTGTTTATCAGAGGGTGGAAGACTGCGCCGTCTGTACCGTTAATCATGTTGCTCTGATTGGAAGACCACCAAGACATCTCCCTATTGATAAAACACACAAAAAACAGGTGGTATTAGTGTTGGGTCTAGCTGCCTGGTGTAAAGTACATTTATTCAAGTACTGTACTTACAAAATACAACTTTGAAACTTTTTACCTCACTGCATTTGACAGTTATAGTAACTAACCTTTTTAAAGTTAGAATTTAACATAAAAACAAAAACCAAACTTGTAAAATACACAGCATTTTATGGATTGTGTTACAGATTACACCAGCAGTTGCAACCTTTCTGGATTGTGACCCCTTACAGAGAAACCGTGTGTAGTTGGAACCCCTTGTCACATTTCTGATATCTACGAGTTGCTAGCATTCTCGTTTACATAGCTGTTTGAGGCTGAAAGAGCATTTATCCATTAATAAAAATAAAGGATTCAGTCTAAAGTTGTGTAGCAGAGCTTTGGCTCATCATCGGATTTAGCTTTTGACCCTGCATAACCATAAATAAAGCATTTAAATATATCATACACATTTTTCTGAAGTACTTTTGAGTCTATAAGTGCAGTTTGCCGATGATCTCTCTGCATTTAAAGCATGACTTAAATTTAAACTTGGAACAGAGTACATTTTACACCGTTGTATTGGTACTTTTACTAAAGTAAAAAGGATCTGACTACTACTTCTTCTTCAACAACCGGAATCTACCTACACATGTCATGAGTACATGTCACTTTGGATGTCCAAGCATTCGTTTTGCAATTGTGTTTCACCTAAAATCAGGGAGCAAAGGACTTCTCCTCTGGACTTTGAAATACAAGATGTATAAACAAGGTGAATGGAAATGTCATGACTGGGAGGAAGTGAAAGCCATGTGCTAGCTTTTCTTATCATCCACAAAAGGAGGAAAAAGATCAGACATTGGCACGCGTGATACGAAGTCTTTACCTCAGACCGTTCCATGTGTCGATCTTGCCATAATCCAAGTAGTTCTCCTCGCCCGTGTGAAACACAAACTCTCCTTCATGGGTGCCATTTTTCTGTGGAAAACAAGGCAACAACTTTAGGTTCTGGTGGTTTTCCTATAAACTGTTTGGACCTCAGAGAAAACTACACTGATTTTGAGGGGGTTTCTTTAAGTTTAGGGCTGCAACTAATTTTCTACTTTCTACAATCTAATGTCTTCAAATTGCTTGTTTTGTCCAACCAACAGTCCCACAGACAGAGTTTAATATCATATACGACAAAGAAAAGTATTCAATTTTTCAACAGTCCATTTGTCATTTTTGTTTGAAAAATTACCAAAAGAGTTTATTTTCTGCTGATCAACTGATCAAAAGTAACCCAAAGACCTGCGCTCAGGATCACAAGGCTAGCGTTGTCACCGTCTGTAACAAGTTGCAGACGTTGCTTTATGAACAGGAAAGCCAAGCATCTTCCATCAGCATTGGCCAATCTCACTTCTCTTACCACAAGTGTGTTGTTGTTGTGTTAGTAACCCCTGACAACTAACCCGCAAGAGTTTTAAGGTTCTTGCACTAAAATGTTGTAAGCTTGCCTCTAAAAACAGATTCAAGACCTCCACCAAGCTCACCTTCCACATCAGCCCAAAATATTCATCCACTTCAGGCTTCATGGAGTGGATCTTTGAGAGAAGAGGGTCTTTGAAGCCCCACAGGACCTCGTGGACGGTGCGGGTCATGAATAGCTCGATGCCCAGGCTATTCATGTACATGGAAACAATAGTTCGCAGGAAGAAGGAGTAGGAGTTTAGCTCGTTCATCACCGCCTGAGGATGACAGAAAATGAGTGTAAAAACTCCCATCACACACACACACACAAAAATCTTTTTTTTGTGGAAAAGCTCATGGTAAGTGTTGCGTTCGCTTGGCTTGTTTGTCTTGGCCTGAAATGACTGAAGTAGGAATGACAATGGCTTGGAGTGTGTTAGAGGAAGAACAGTGTGTGTGAGAAAATTTAACTGCCAATCAAGTAACTTAAACTTAAGACGTAAGGGGCTTGTTAACTGGCTGCTGCAGGTCATAATAACATACATTATCCTGTACGGACACAAAGTCTTACCACAAACGGGATGTTGACAGTCCTGATGATGTCAACCTCAGGGTTACCGGCTGACTTCTCAGGCACAAACACAAAACTTTTGGGGTTCAGGGCGAAAATCTTGGTGCCGTTCTCCAGGAAAGTTACGTTTTCCCGCGGCCTGTATTCCCTGGTGTGGAAAGAACATTGGTCAGTTAGTTCAGATGGCTTTTAACAAAATTATCCCAGATTATTTTCCTTAAAAACAAGACTAACATAAATCATAACCGGTTTCCATTCCTGCATATTACACACACACTTACAGGTGCAGCTCTACTCCCACACACTGTTCCCACGGGCTGTATGTCTTCATATCAAACCTACCTGTAAGTATAGGGTCCTATCTGTGTCACAGCTGCCTTCCCGCCTGCCAAGAACACCTCTGGATTGGTCACATTGAAGAAGTAATACTCCATATACACAGGTGGGGGTGGATTCTTCCATGCCTCAAACACTTGGCTCTTCTCTGTCAAAGTAATTTCCTACCAACAACAGAGGAAAATACAAATTCAGATTGAGGGGGGAGCAACACCTGCCACAGCACTCTGTGTTGAGATTCTTAATGAGTTTGGAAAGCTATGGCAAAAAGCACTTGGGTTTCAGAGATTTCACACCTGGGAGGAACAGTGTTTCACTCACATTTGGCCACTTTCAAAATCTCTTCACCACTCTGAAATGAGTGCAATCTGAGCGCACACACGGCACTTTCCTGCAAGGGGCTGGTGCCGGGCCAACACCCCAAAAACCCAGAGGGAAGCAGAGAAAAGTCCTTCATAGCTGAAAAAAAAAAAAGTGTCAGGACGGGCAGAAAATCTACTGCACCCAGTCTCTGACCTCAGCAAGCCTAGGCAGGAATCTCACAGTGGGTGACTCGTCAGCCCACACAATCCAGCAACATGTTGCAATAATAAGACATGGCATCTTTGCAGAATTACCAATCAAACACCATGCAGGGTGTCACTTGAGTTTTTGAATTTAGACTATGCAAGCCAAATCAGCCACAAAAAGTAAAAGTTGGTTATGGTTCATGTGGAGATAAACAGCACAGTGCCAAGTAACCACAAATGGCATAAGGCTGGCTGCCACATGTCTGGACATGAGCAACAGTAACCTTTAAGTAGACCATTCAATTGTATAAGAAAAAACAGCTAGTGTGTTGACTGAAGGTGTTTGCGAACAAGGAATATAAGCAGGCCTTCTCCACTCTCTGGGGAGTGTTTTTAAACTTGGGAGAGGAGAAATGACCCACTTCCTCTTGTGCGTTTTTTCATGTTGAGTTCCTAAAGGCCCTCGGTCTCCTGAGTACAGCGAGGTACACTTGTGAGCCTATACATTGTCTTCTGCAATCACTCGCAGGCACTTGCCGTTGAGAAAATATGGCTTAAGGTGTGGCTGGCACTTCCTGTTTGGCTTACAACTTCCGACAGTCAAACATGTTTTGCTCTATAGAATGGTTTTCTGGGTATTGTTGCTTCATCTTCCCTTTGTTACTTGACAAAAACCCAGGTTAGATCACAGAGGGGTCGACCAAAATATCTACTTTGAAAGTATGCACAAAAAAAAAAGAAAAGAAAAAAAGAAGGTTCAACTAACTGAGGAGAAACAAGATTAAGAAAAAAGGCTCATTTGGTTATGTGATTATGAATTATACCAATTATACCCTTACACCATTTGCACAAACTGCAAAGATGATGCGAGCGGTTTACGGCTATATTATCTCAACTAGTCTCTTAATTTTTTAGTGTAAATTGTCCAAATATTCTGAAAATATCCCAGAGCCCAAAATGAGACTTCAGACGTCTGTTGTCCCAACCAACAGGCCAAACCCCAAAGATATTCAGTTTGTAAGGATACAAAAAAAAAAAAAAAACAGAAAAGCAGTAAATCCTCACATTGTAGAGGATACAATTATCAGAATAGTTGCCAATTCATTTTATTTCAATTGGATAACGTTAAGAGGAGTTTGCTATTGTGTTCAGCACCTTGATGAGCATGTAGTGTCTTTTAATTTCTACTAATCAAGAATTACTGACATAGCATTGCCCAATCTCAGAGTCAACCTAGGAAACCATGTCAGTCATGAAAAAGACTGAATAATCAGTTGGCTTGAAATCACACCTGTGCAACTACTTCCAAAAAAAAAAAAAAAAAAGGGAAGTTGAGGTATTTAAGAAGTGGGATTCTCCTGAGTCCCAACCATTCTGCCTTCTAATTAAAGACCAAAAGTGAAACCAGGTAATGCAGTAGAAGCTTATAACTATCATGTCAGTGAACTATTGGGCTTATAGAAATAATTACGCCAAACCAGTAGCAGTGATCCACCATTGTTCCCTTTTAAAAGACACAATGCAAATTCACACTTTTGAAACCGGCTTCGGCCTCGTCTGGCCTTCCTCCTGCAGCACTTGACAGACCAATGAATGAGTAACTATGGCCTGTATGAATCCTTGTGTTTGCAAACCTTGAACAAAGGTCTTTTGAAAGGCCTTCATCCAAAAGGTTTATGATCATCATTATCTCCCATAAAAACCTTGATCTATCCCAAACATAGCGAGGGACAAAGTGGAGAGGTTTGTCACTGTTAGAACGACTCCAAACTAAACACTGATGGCAGCGTCAACAGGGCCTTAGCCAAACAACCACAGGCAAAGCTTAGGTGTGGCGTGACAAGATCCTGCTTTGATCAGCATGCAGAAAGACAGTTAAAATGAAAAGTACATAATTACAAAACGAGAAAATCCTTTATCAAGTGCCTGCTGTGTAGAAGATCCGACATTTAAGATGCACATCAATGACATATTTTGACCTAAAACATACTGTGTTTTACCAGCATGACCTTGTTCTTGAACGCTTTAAAAGCTCAATCATATTACCTTGAAAAGTTGCCTAGGGCTAAGAGGAGTGGCACTAGTGTGCGTTTTTCTTTTTAGTTTCCTTGTCTGAGCACAACGACTCTGTATAAGCCGAGCCTAGGACAACAGTAAGGCACTACGAGATTGCTCCAAGGCTAAAATCATGCCCTCAAGGCCAAGAAGTCAGTCAAATTCCTCACATGGCTTATATGCCGCCTCCCTCCACACCCAGCTCACAAGACACACACAGTCTGTGTCCTGGAGGTAGCTTGAACATGTCACAAACAACAAGGCTACATCGTTATTACGGAGAGCCGCATTCGAACATCAGATTAGGTCGATTTTTGGAGGCAGTGCAGCATGTCCCGGCCCGCCTAATTCGATGGGAAGACGCTGTCCAAAGAGGATTAGCTATGCTGTCATTTCATGTAAATCGCCAGCCATCTCAGAATTATGTCCCCTGTTGATGAACTTTGACTAAGTCTTTTAATTTGGGTCCCCTGGGATGCTGCTGCCGTTCAGAATGAGACAAATGAGACCCAGACCTTAATTTAACTCCGGGCGGGGGGGGGGGGGCTGTTTGTGAGTCCCCTACTTGGCCAAATAGTGTGTGGAGCTTTTCTGCTGAGCTGTTCCTGGCTTTTTCTTCTTCTTAAGTAGCGGGGGGGGGGGCTTTGTGAGGATGCAGACAGATTTATAGAGTACAGATTATGGAGTTGCCAGATGACCCAACACAGTGAGTCATGTCATTGAGAGGAATGTGAGGTATTTTACAGGGACAAGAGCAGAGGTGGGCCTGCAGGGTGGGATGGGGTGTCAGCTGCCTACAACCCCGCCTCATTGGGATGCCACCCCACCACCCTTATATGCCCTAAAATATAGTAACAAGCAGAAATGTATATGTCAGTTTGAGCCATGCAGATGAGTCACTGCAGGGAGGTCCACTGGTGTACATGTTTCTGTGTCAGGAATAAACGTTACACGAAAAAAGCTGATCAAGCCTCAGTTGATTTGTGAAGCAGTGAAGACTCAAAATAGACCAGTATTGCAAAGTGTTTTTTCTTTAAATCACAGGGGTTTGGGGGGGATTCCTGAACATACACACTGCATATTGATGCATTTGCAGGACCTACACTCTTTATTCTCAATCATATAGCTGCTTTGAAAAAAAAAATCAGATTCTGCATTTTAAAAATGCATCAAGTTTATGAAGATTTGTCTGTTTGTTATTTTTTTACAAGTTGGATGCTTGATTTTCAGAAGGGTCAATGGGCTGCCGCTCATCCTCCTCTTGCCAGACCATGTAAAACTTCCTAAAGATTCACCAGTAAAAGTCAGGGACTCCCTCACTCGCCTGTCCACACTCAGGTTCACTGCCCCCCCCCCCCCCCTCCCCCTCCTTAAGACCTACACACCTCCCCCCTACTCATAGCGTCTCTGCTGGCTGAGATTTCTACTACCACCACCACCAGCGGTAACCCTCTTCAGAACAGACAACCCATTAAGAAGTCAGTATACCAAGCCTGTATCACCAGAAATGTGTCACCAGGTCATGCTGGATGGCTCATCTAAATGTTACAGCATCAGCTAAATGAAAGAACATCTCATTCCCTTTCTCCACTTTTCCACAGTCCCTGCCATATAAAGCTAGTTAAATCATGTGACGACTGGTCAGAATCCTATAAACGCTTCACATCAGTAAAGGAGTGTTAAAAGGTTATGTCAAGGAGATATAAAATGTCATGATGGACCCACCTTCCGAGAGCTACAATAATTGCTGCACTCACCTTGTGGGGGTTGCAGGGGATTTCTACCCAACATTAAAGCGAAAGCCTGTACGAGGTTTTTGCATGTTGTTGATGTTGAAATTAACTTGCCGATTAGTCGTATGCTTTAATGCAAGCTTGGACAAACCCCCCGAAGCTGCACAACCATGTAATGGGACTTTACACGCTGTACACCCTCCGATCATGTGGATTCGCGAAGGGAAAAGGCTTTGGGTTCATCACGCTGAGCTGGGGAGGTGCAGAATGCTGCAAATTACTAATAAAGTAAACAGCTAAAATTAAGACAATTTACACACAGTGGATTGTCTTGTGATCCTGCATGTACCATCTACCACCAGTGAGATAATGAATGCGCATGATTGGCCACTGCAGATGAAACATTTAAAAAGCCCTCAAGACTGACATATGGAAGAAGTGTGAAAGGAGGGAGAAAAAAAAAACACTGAAACCATCTGACGGTAAAAGGGCACAACTCACCTTTTTTAGCCGGCTGTGTATCATTGTTTGAAATACTTGAGCCACAACCAGCGCGATCCCCACAATCAGGAGGTGAGCGCACACGATCCCGGTGGCGTAAATGGCACAGGATCTCCTAGTCATGATGCCGGGCGGATGTGTTGTCCTCTCTCTCGGGGGCCGGTAAAACTTCACTGAAGTCGATGATGACCTTCTCCCTCGCAAAAATAAAAATAACTACAAATATAGCGAAGGCTATGTCTGGGATCGTGTAACCTCAGATCCAGGTTTAAACTTCGCTCTTCGCCGCCCTGGCGTGGTCTCCCCGGTGAGGCTGAGGGTAAAACAAGACGGAGTATCAAAAAGGTTGGCACTTAACATCAAAACCCGAGGTCACGCCTAAATCTAAAGAGAAGGAGGACTGAGCTGCTCGGATGCGGTGGTGAACTGAAACAGCAGCTCTCAGCACACCGGGACGTAGAAGAAGAGCCGTTCACCTCCTCCCCTTCCTCTACGCATAAATGTAGCCGGTCAGGCGAAAAGCGTCGTTTTGGGGAGGCTGCATGGGCGGTGGGTGTGTGTAAAACTCAAGGGAGAAAAAAAAAAAAAAAGAAGCAGTGATGGTGCTTTGCTTACATCGTTTATGTCACTGTTTCAAACAACCAAATAATAAATCTGAAACAGAATTTTAGTTCAACATTTCCCCCCTTTTTATGCGCACTTACTCACATTTGTGTGATTTCTGTCGCAGTTCAACAACTAAAAACGAGCTTCATTTTGAGTTCTTACACTGATGCTTTACTGGTGTGAACATATCTTATTGGCGTGCTTGCAGAGCTTGTAACACAACGCACAAGACTACCAGGATTATGAATGAATTAGCAGCCGCGTGCTCATGAACGCGCCGGTGGTAGTGTGTGTCACCTGGCGACTTTTCTAACGAGCTTACCGGGATGTGTCTGTGTCCGTGTACTGTGCACATATTGCCAACATATTGACAGGGAAACTCGTTTAACATGTTCCCTTTCGCATTGAAACGTCTCATCACCGGCTACGTTCAACTACACACACACACACACACACACACACACAGAAACTGTGAAGCCGGCGGAGAAGACCCGTTACCTTTAAGAAGGATTCCGCTATCTCGCCTCATCGAGTCTCCTTAAGTAAGCGCAGCGTGGACATGAATAATGTGCTATTCAAGCAACCAACGATCGTTGACGCGAGCCCTTTGTCTGACGAGCTCGAGCGCTCATTGGCGACTGCCCTCCCGGACCACCGTCTCGAGACCACCCCCTCTGCGCGCTGATTGGTCAGACGCGGGTGAGTGCGATGTTGAATTTGATCGACTGATTTCGGGGCGGGGCTCCTATAAAGGGGGAACCGGCGGCGTGATGCTCAAAGCTGACGGAAAAGGGATGTTGAGCGGCTGCTGCGGAGTTCACTTAATACAGATGAGGTTGTGGCGGAATAACAGAAAGAAAATGGAAGATGAATGGCCTGCATTATGGTCACCATGAGGCAAACGGCCACTAAATATCGACACACAAAAATTTTATGTACACTGTAACGTATTAAGTCATCTCCATGGGGGAAATGTCTCTGCAGAACAGCAAGATGCTGTTAAAGTGTAGTTGACAAAACGTACTTGAGATGTTGGAATTACGTTTACCCTTGTAGTTTTCAGCCATAAAAAAACTAAATTTCAGTGGATTTAGCCGATGCTTTCTTGTTAAAGTAGTGCTAATTTTTTAAGCAGGATGTTGCAACAACTTGATGAAGTGAGAGCTCAGTTATGTGCAGCTGAAGATCATTACCATTTCTTGAATATCTGTTCACTGATATGTTTATACCTGTACCTTTATTAATATTTTATATTTACTCTTTCCTAATTTGTACTGCAACTGCTGCACAACATTTCCCCTCAAGATAAAGTTCTATCTCATCCAATGTTAAAAGCAAGGAAGCCTGATTGTGTTTCTTTGCTCCTGAACCTCAGCAGTCTTTTAATAGTGAGTATCTGTCTGCCAGTGAAATCCAATCCAATATTTGATTCAGTTTATCGTTTCATTCATATGCTGGACAGCATAGCAACATTTCATAAAAGGCCATGAAAACCTATTTTCCAAGTTATGGGGGGCTTTAAAATATATGAGAATTAGCAAAGCAATGTTACAGCTCTGAATAGACTGAATCTGCATCTTAGGTTTTCTTTGATGGTTTCACCTGCAAAATGACCACAAACGACGCAGCCGTCTTGCTCTTTTACATGTCTGTGCCCAAGGGCCCATTATCTGTTAATCCATGTGCAGCAATCATATCAAATACAAACGAGAATGTAGTCGGTTCAGAATTGATAATAAAGCTTGTACATATCTCTGACCATATGCGTCACATGTTATGATGAAAACAGTTCCTTATTTGTAAACATGTGTTATAGTCTGTAATATTTCAGTGGTAACAGATTGTGTAAATCCTCTATGTGACGTGCAGAAGGTAAAACAGCAATGACATTAACTTTACAGCTACACTTGAAAAAAAAATCCATTTTTCCAGTACAGCAAATACAGATCCGTGCTTTGCAGCGTTCGGCTGCTGGTCGGACAGTTTTCTCAGAGCTTTGGTCCAGTTAACATTGATTTTTTCATCAAAGCAAGTGTTAAGTTTTCACACTGATTTGGTCCTATAGCAGCAGTAGGAACACTAGAACAGTGATACTTTGTTCACAATGGCAATATCAAAAGTATGAATTGCATTTCTTCTATCAATGGGACGTTAATATGGTAGTATCAAAATCTAATGTAGCACCAATGGGCCTGTGGCTGTTGAAGCCACATTTACCATCAACCGGTGCAGTCTAATGCACGCTGAAGTTACAGACGTTTCACACCTCTAAACGGTATCGGTTCTTCACAAAGTCAAGCTAATGCATGTATTACCAGAATCTGGGGGCATTTTTCTGCGATTCTTCAGTGCCCTTTGGATTCTGTGGCACTCAAAGCATGTGACTGGTGTAAGGCTGAAACAGGACACTTTGAATTGTGAGCCACCATCGTCCTTATTTACAGACAACGCCAGCTGCTTATCTCAAGAGCATGCTTTTACCCAGAATTCTAGTGGACGAGATGCCAGCTCAGATACCAGGTAACCTGATGAGATGAGAAGGCTGGCTAAATACACCTCCACTCCCCAGCTCAACCATTCACAGAGTCACCCAACTCATTGACTGGAGTGTGTTTAGGGTTTGTCTGGTAGTCTGCATGTTAGGATACATCCTGCTATAAAATGCTTTATGGGCAGTAATGGATGGACTGAAAGGTGAGCACGGTCATGCCGGGTCATGCAGCCGCCTCTTTCATAATCCATTCATAAATAAACCAGGACAAAAGCCTACAATTCTTCCCCAGGAAGTGATATACATCATATTGTTTGATGTTGTTTACTGGAAGGAACTGGCTGTGCTGGACTTTTAACATTAATGTAATTGAGTGTTACCTCATTGTACTAAGCCTTATAGCAATCCCAGAGGATGGGGGCTGCAGGAGGGGGGGAGGCATCTGTTCAAACAAAAGGAGTAAAAAATGCTAAAGACAATCTTCAGGGGGGAAGGATAACAGTCAAGTAATGCAGCAACATTGTTTTCTGCCAAAAGAAAGGGTGGGAGGGTGAAGAGGGGTAAAACAGTTCAACCTTTGTATTGGTCTCTTTTTATGTTTGGTCAGCAGAGCGACACAGATTTTTTTTCCCATCAGTTTTTTTGTTGTTGGACTTGTTGGACGCTGAAGACACCCAGCTTTGAAGGCCCACACAAAGCTATTTGATGACTGGAGTTTGTTTTTTATGTGAAAATCGCTATGTACAGCATCATAAAAGGGGTTCATGGTGAGAATAAGGCAAGCATTCATACATACCACAACAAGGAGACTTTTATCCAGAGGCTAAATAATTTTGGACCAGTTATTCGAACTAGTGTCTGTTTCCCCCACAAATCATTCATTGTGTTCCGACACATTTTGTCCCCCACCTAAAAACTGAACCAATAGCTTTTGGTTTGCACTTTGAGGACACGGCTAAAGTGCAAATGTGGCTCAACAGCAAGAACATTTATTTGGACACAAATGTCCATTCATGAGAAGTATTCTCTGACTGTTTCATACATTGTGCACAGTCAGCTTTTCGGAGTCGTCTCTGATAACCGTGCAAAATGGATTATGTGCTAACTCATGTGGGCTTTACTTCACATTGTGTTTAAGATCAATTTAAGGTCACCATCCTCACACACCCAGTGATTATTGTAAGAGTTCAATTGAGAGTCAGTAACTCACTATCTGTGTGGTTAATTTTCACGTGGTGAACAGAAAGTTGTTTTCCAGTTAACAGAGTGTAGTTTGACTGCAGACATAATCACAGCTGAACAGGAAATCCTGAATGAGGTTAAATGGGTGGATTCACTTTTTAACTTATATTTAAAATATCAAATGACACACGCAGTATGCAAACAATGATTCATGTCCTTCAGGCTGACATTCCAGTTATACTTTGTTGCACTGTAAACCTGCCGACGCCCTAGCTCACAAAGCTATCTGAAGTTATACACTTTAATATCAATAATATGCAGGTGTGTTTGAATTGAGGGAAAAGTCAGCAAATGTTATAGCAATCCATCACTAAAGTCAGCAAATATTATAGCAATCCATCCAATAGTTGTTAATAATTCAGATAATTCAAAAATATTTCAGTCTGGAGCAAATGGTGGACCAACAAACAAACAAACATCGTCATCCTTAGCGCTGTGCTTCTGGCATAGCAAAAAAGCAAATCTAAGTTTGAGGCAAAACCTCCTCCTTGACCATTTGAGTGAAAGAAAATCTTCACTCAAGGTCCACTTAGTAGCCTTTTCTGTGTTTTTTAAAATCATATATTGCAGTGTTTCTCAGCAGATTGAGTTCGGATGAGGATGTAATCGACAAAGAAAGCCAGTAAGTGATCCTAGGGTCAGGATTCTTTTAAAAAATAGGATGATAATTCACTACTGAAAACAAAGCTGTTGCTCCTAGTTCTTAAAAGGAGATTTTTTTTATGGTTTGGGAAAAGTCCACCAACTTTGTTATAGAAAAGCATTCTTGGCATGTGTTTAAACCAGGTAATCATAAAACTGCGCGGTAATCATGTACAGATCAAGGTTTTTCTTAAACATAAAGCAGTATTTTTACTTGATGGCAACAAACTACTTTATGCAAGATGAAGAAAATGTGAAAACAAACCACATCATCCACCAGTTACATTCCATCATCTGTCCTCCCTATCTGTTGCTCCCTCCTTATATCAACGCAACAGAAACAACATTAACTTGTACTGCCTGACATGGTTAGCGGTGTCCTCCACCCCTCAGGGCTGCACCGCAGCGGAGCCTGGTACCAAACATTAAGTCACAGTACTTTCGAGGCTGAGACAGTCTTTGTAAGGCTAGAGACTGATATACAGGCATAGCTGTGGGAGTGGAGACTTGTGAGTAGTGGCAGACCTTTTCACTGCAGGTGATTAATGCAAACCGAGCCATTAAGTGTACACTACACTGAATTTATTTCTGGGTTAATCCATCCCTTGCTCTCCATGGAGAGGATCACAGTGACTGAAAGAACTTGCTATGTTGTAGCAGTCAAAATACATGTTAAGTAATAAAAAAAAATCTATACTGCTGTGGTAACTAAATACATTCACTCAATCACTCAAACCTATTTCAGACAGAAATGTAAAAGTACTTTTCACTTCATTTATCTGCCAGCTACAAGTTACTTTCCAGATCAAATGTTTTACATCAAAGCACATCATAATCTTATAAAACACAATATGTTGTTAAAGATAAAAGTAGTGGCTGCCAACTTTTTTGGCTAGTGACTACTTGTCCTGTTTCAGATGTGTCTATGTGCGTTTCCAGTTTCCCATTTTTTTTAATGCACGTTTTCAAACCTGAGACATCACCAGAAATTTGAAAAAGACCAAAATTTGGCTAAAGTTTTTTTTAAGTAAAGCTGTAAAAATTGGTGCATCAATAAAAACAAAATGCAACACAGTACAATTGCGAGACCACGTAAATCATGGCATGCATGAAGCTCAGACTTAAATCTCCAATAAAGCTTCTGCTCCACTGAAAAGCTAAAAATTCCAGTACACAATAACATCAGATCAGTGTGATCTCTACTCTAAAGCTTTTATATGGCTGGAGAACAGTCAAAAGAAGTATATAAATTTCTGTAACAGAACTTTTCAGCACAGTCTTTTCTTCTTTCCTGCCCCATTAATCATCGTTTGACATTTGAAAGGGCCTGACCCCTATTGGAAACCCCTAACCATATATAAATAAGTTGAAGTAGTGAAATCAGCTTCATCTCGACCAGCTGCAACAGTAAAATCCTACTTACAGTATCTGTATTTACAAAAATGTGATAAAGAGATCAGTCATTTTTCTGCAGTGATGGATTTTGAATGCAGGGCTTGTAATGGAGTATTTTTACATTGTGATATTGGTACTTTTACTAAAGTACATCATCTAAGTACTTCTTCCACCACTGCTATACTGTGACTTAAGCATTACACACTATACACCAAAGAACAATCAAGGTGTTTATTTGTCATTGCGTGTATTGTATATGGCTTCTCATGGTATGACGTTCTAGTTTATTTACTCAACAGGGGTTAAGTGATGGACTGACCATAGAATTCCTTTGTCCACCTGGGTGTGGTTAATTTCCCACCATACAAACTAAGTGTGTTTCGTAACAGGAGACAGCGACTCATTGTTCCCGCATGTAGCAACAAAGTGTTAATTTAAGAATTCAAGGAGGCCGTTGTCACACCACATGACGACAGCAGTACAGTAATGTTGCAGAAATAATGTTGATTTTGAAAAACACATTTTGAAAACACGTAAAGTGTCTAGCCTTGATTAAAATGTCTCCCTGCTTAGCCCTGCTGTCCCCAGGCTAGAGAGGAGAGTTATACAACAATATATGCATTGTGCATTAGGCTTTGTCAGACAAAGCCAGCCCACAATTTTGCTTCACTCTTTTATTTCAATGTGAAGTGAAAAGTGAGGTTGCAAGACGTACTCTGCAGCTCTGTGAGGCTAGATCACAGTAAACAATGTATAAAGCTATTTGGAGGTAAGAGGGATGGTAAAAAGCTTTAGACTTATTATTATTTCTTAAATACCAATTTTGTGGCAAGACATGGAAGTCTTTAAAAAATGTGTACAATTATCTGGCTTCAGTTTATTAATATAAAGTGCTGAAATGAATAGTTCACTAATCAGCAATTTGATTGACAGAAAAATAAAATGGAAATTTGATTGATTAAATGTTCAAGCATAAACAAAAAACATTCTCTGGTTTCAGCCTCTCAAATGTGAGAATGTATATAATCGTAACTTCAATATCTTTGACTTTTAGGCTGCTGGTGGGGCAAAATAAGCTAAGATCAACTTGGGCTCTGGAAAAGTATGACAGACAGTTTTTTATCGATGAATTAAAAAAAAGTATCCTCAGGTTAATCAACAATGAAAAAGATTGGTATTTGTGGCCACATTGATTTATTTACTTATTGTTTTAAATGTATTTATTTTACCTAAATTTTATTAGTCACATAAAAAAAAAGAGAGGGAGTCGACTTACATTGCGAGAGGTAGGAATCACAAAAACAGGGTCGAGTGGGGTCAAAATCTATTCAAATGTGAACTTTGTTGTGACTAGCTGTGAATAAGGCTCAGGTAAATAAATCTCACTTGACAAAAAGTTGGCAGTATCTTGACCTTAGACCACTGATAAAGAGAGGAAACCTGGTGCCACACCTGTTGCATCCTGTACAGAGAGCGTGTTAGGGAGTTCTGCACATCCTTTCTGGTTTCTTGTATTGTATTGTATTTCTCAACATCCTAAAGACTGTAAAAGACTGTTAAAAATGGCAGTAAACTCCTTTTTACTGGAAAGTCAGCATGCTGCCAAACCCTCTGATATTAACATAAACAAAAACATTTCCTGTGTATCCCACCAGTTTCCCCCAATTGTACTTGATTAGACGTAGAAAGTCTCTGGAGGAAAATTAATGTTGTCCTGTTGCTTTGTTGTTTTTTTTATTTTTATTGTGAATGTGTGGAATAAATAAACAAACAGAAGAATGCAAATCTCAAACAAATAATCAAAAGTGGCCGCCTTTCACGGTTACCCTCTCCAAATTAGATAAATGCACAGTGAGATGTTTTCAAATTGTATAAACATTACTACACATTAGGCATATCAGCAAACACAGTGCTTTGAAGTCTGCATGTGAGAAGTACACAGTAGATACATCCTACATCCTGATATTTACTCTATGATATTTCCCCCCCCAAATGGGCTGAGCTTTCCTGAGTCAGGCCATCTCCGTGCAACCATTTAGAGAGCTGTTTGTAGACAATGGCCAGTTACATAGGTGTCGTATTTCAATATTTACACTTCATGATGCGTGAGCAGGAAATCCTTCTGAAGAGAAAAGAAATGCAAGGTAAAACTTGGAAGTTAACAAGGATTCAGGCATTTCCTCAAGTAGATGGATGAGAAAATGAGACCATGCAAAAAATAGCACAGTAGGTTTTATCTATCAACTGGTCTGCAGCTCCTTGTGAGCACGCTCTGCTGTTAGATTAAAAACAAAATATATATAAACATTTGAACTTTTCAGGAGCTGAAAGGCAGCCTGGTTAATAGCTTCACCCCGGTGTGTGTTTGAGTTTAATATCACTTTTATTGGCCCATGGATGCAAGAATATTCCAGTGCATCAGAAGGTCAGGTAGCTTTTATGACAACTGCAGTTAGAGAATTTAGTTTGCTGGTCTTTTTGTTGTAAAAAGCTTATTAAATGCAACAGAACAGTTGTTACAGAATAATCAAATATGTTGTCATTATTTGCAGTAGTGCCTCTGTTATTGGTTTTACAAATTGCTTATATGCTGATGTCTTTTATGTGTCATCATATTTGTGCTTATGTGCTCTGCTTTTATGTGGTTAATGCTTTTGTGTATTATCTATGCTCCTGTGTTTTCTGTTGTGCTTATGTACCTGTCTGTATTTTGATATTTTCTGTAACGCCATCAACCCGCCAGGGACTGCAGATGAAAATTAGTCTGTATGGTTTAATCTGGTACAATTACATATTGGACTTTATTTGATTAGTTTGCACTGTCCCTTTTTAAATAGACAAGCAAAACAAACAAACAAACAAACAACATACTTAAATGGCAGGCCCACACTGGCACTTTTTAAGTGGATACACACAAACAGAAGTTCAAATTTCAACAAATACAGTATATCTCAATATGGGTGCTAGTTTTGATGCATGCTGAAGTTTTAAAAATAGGAACAGAAAATTCAGATAATCAGCAGGAGAGAACCCGCCCCCCGCCAGACCCGACCCTTTGCCTTTGCAGGTCACTGTATGTCGCTCAGTCTGACTTAGGAATGTGGGAGAAAGCTGTTAAAACGCTTTGTTGGGAGTCTCTGGGTCACATGAGGACACTTCATTGTCAATCCAATGCTGGAAATTCCTCAGAGACATGGCGCTGTACGGACGTAACATGGTCATGACGTCATTATCCATTCATATATCCACATTGCTGCCTCAGAGCTGACAGCAAGAGGAACCTATAAGCAAGAGGAAGAGGCTCAGGATGACTGTGATCACTACACAAGCTCCAAAATCTTACTGGAAGCTGTAGTAGCTGGCATCTAAATACCAGTACACTTTTAAAAATATACCGTTTGTCTTTAATTTAGTAAGAGCTTACAAAAATAGGTGCTTACGCTTCAACTACTCCATCAGCAACAGTAATCCTGAGCACACAAAGACCCGAAGCTGCCTGTGATGGTTTCAGATCACAAATGTGCTTTCAAATGTCACTGTTTTATAGCTGCATTCAAGCTGGCTGTGTCGCTGGCAAGCACACTGAAACAGCGCATTAGACAGTTCACTGACTGCATTGAAACTGTTTACTAAGTTAGTTTGTTACTATAAATAGGGGACATCAGTGTTGAAAAAGGGGAAACAGAAGTCTCTCTGTCCCAGCAGTGTTTTCTCTAGTGTTTGAGCAGCAGGGGAGTCTGGGGATCTGAACTCAGGCTAATTAGCTAATTCATCAGCCCTGAAGGGAATGACATGTGATTAAATCCATCAACAACCACTTTCCACGCAAGATAAGTTATCAAGAATAAATTTAGGAAACTACCTATGTGAAAAGTACATATCAGTTTTTGTAAACTGACAAAGTGAAAAACCAAAAGATAGTTGATTAGTACATTAAGCTAATATAACTAGCTATAAGTAGGCCAACATTTACCTGAGTACTGTACCTAACTACAAATTTGAGGTACTTATATTTTACTTACTAGTATTTCCATTCCATTGTACTTTATACCAGGCAAATATTGTACTTTTTATGCCACTAACCACTTTTTTTTTTCTTTTACAATTAGCAGATTTTACATTGAAAACACAATCATCTTATACAATAGCATGCTCTGAAATGGATTGAAGTAGGCTACATAAAAGTAAATAAAGCAGTTAACATTAGCTCCATTTCTACCACCTATGTAGCCTATAACAATATCACAGTACTTTACTAAGTCTAAGTACATTTGGCTGATAATACTTTTACCTGGAATATTTTGAATGCAGCACTTTTATCTGTGGAGTCCATTGTGGTTTTGCTAATTAAACTCACATAAAGGACTTAAATAGGATCTTCCACCACTGCATTTAAGTTGTATTTAAGTAGCATATCCCAGCAATTAAAGATATTTTATTAACAGTGATTAAGCCTACACAGGTTGGTTGCATTGGCTCTGGTTCAGGGTGCCATGAACTAAACTGCAAATTGTCTAACAAGGAGAGCCCCCTAGTGCTGAAATAGGCCCACACGCGCAGGAGGGTCCACACAGAGCAACTGGGACTCATTTTAATGACTTTTAGAAATGTGCTCCTCGGTTGTGCACTCATAGTGTAAAATGAGAGAAACAGTTAGGCTAGACTACTAACGTTAACTGGGTGAGTTGTTTTTATGCTGCCACTCACACAACACAACAGCTGCACGCACCTATAGGCCTATGTAACCAAATATCACCTCTCACGCGACTTGGACACACATACCAAGCATAGCGGGTAAATAAAATGATTTAAATTGAGACTTGTCTATTGTAGGTTAATGATTATTCCTTTAACAACACTTGTTACTGCTCGGCCACGCTAGCCGACAGTAAATATCGAGTTTAATGCTTTTAATTTTATGCAAAACGACTGTTTGTCTCAACATTGAACGGCCCCACTGGATCCGCCGCCGCTGCCATAGTCACCAAATAACAAACTACCTGGACGGATCATGAGCCAGATTGTTTTTCATTGTGTTTGTTTTCTGTAGATTTGAACTAAAACTGATTCAATAAATAATACTGAAGGATGGAGAATAAAAACACGCGGCCCATTTTCCCTTGGTAAGTGAAATATAACGTCTTTTGGAGCCTATACTTCATTGTTATGTGACACTAGTGCAGTCGTTCCTTTGGCGATTTGTAGCCTAGTGAATGTAGGCTATACATCAGTATTTAGATCCTTTACCAAGCTAACTAAAAGTAGAAATACTACAATGTAAAAATACTCCAACACTTGTAAAAGTCCTGCATCCATTTTTCCACCATCTTAATGTAAGCATTCATTTCAGCTACTTTGTGAACTTAATTTAATCAGTTAACGTTGCATTTTATTATATAAATTGATTATTATTATGTTTTGCATGTAAACTCTCGCATGAAAATCACGGCTTCCCTCTGAAATGCAGTGGAGTTTTGGTATTAAGTCGCATAAAAAGCAAATATTTAAAGAAAGTACAAGTACCGCAAAATAGTAGTAGAGTACTTAAGTAATTGTGCTAAGTTACTCTCCACCACTGATGTAAACACTGCATGGTATACCAGCTATAAAGAGACAGGTAAGTATCTACATGTCTTTTACTTGAATATTTACTATATATATATATATGAAATTGTTGTCAATTATTACTTTCAACCTTTATGCTTGACCGACCTCTGTTTGCTCACCTAAACTGGACCAGTCTGAGGACAGGTACAAGGAAGGGAGTGAAGGGAAGGAATAAATACTAAATAGAAAGGAGGAAGAAAAGGGAGAGACAGGAATAGATAAGACAAACATGTACAGAGTGCTATTTAAAACGGTCAGTGAGCTGCTTCATTTAGACCTACAATATGATGTATTTCTCTGCTGAGATGTAACTGGAGCCCCCACACGTATTTGGTTAAAGATTTAAATACCTTCGAGATGAACCCTGAATGCTCTGATATAACACCCCTTGTCAGCCAGCTGCTAAGAAGAGAGGCAGAGTCGAAGAAGAGACTAGGATAACAAAAATACACTGCTAGCATTTTGAACTAGCAGGACAAACTGAATATCTTATGCTAATAATTTTGAGACAGAATTAAGTATTGTCAAGCCAGAAGCATTATCAACAAAAATTAAAAATGATAGGCGTGGTCAACATGGAAACAATTCTTTATCAGGGTATACGTAATTTTATATCACAATATCAATATCTGTCATTTTGTACTACCTATCTCTATAAATTAACTGGGAACCTTAATGAATAACATAAGATATGATTGTCTGATTGTGCCTGACAAAGAAAGCTACTTCATCATATTCATGCAAAAATCATTTAAAAAAACAATCTGGCTGAATAGTGCTGCTTATAAATTTGTAAGATTGCCCACAATGGCCTAATGCACCCAAAGACGTGAAAGGGATAGATACTTTGGGGTAAACGGCACAGCAGAGAAGGTTCACACAGTTAAATTGTCATTTTGCTGCAGATCTAATCTGAAAAGATGATTGTGTGCTATCAGCCAATCTTTTACAAATGACAGCAGTTGTCGTGAACATTATGTAAAAAGTCTATCATTGGTTAAAGAAAAACCTTCAGTCTCCCTAACTTAACAAAACCTGGAAATGGTTTGTGGCTAATAGAGTAGACCTGCAGCTACTACTTTATAAAGTTCAACTACTAGCAGAAAACACAGTCTTTCTTTGCATATCGTAACTTCATCTGGTGGAAAAGGAAGCACTTTAGACTTTAGACTCTCTCAGGATGAAACAGCGTTTCGTGAAAGAGCGTTTAGAAAGATGGATAAGAGTGTTCAAGAAGAAAAAAGTTTTTTATAGACACAAAATGAACATCATGCACATAGTTATCCATCTATGGGTTTCCAGCAGAATAAACCCAATTACGAAACAGGACACTGACTTATATCTGAAACAACACGACACATCCAAGTAGCCTGAATTATTGTCAGGCCCTCGATAAAGAAAATAAATTGTCTTATCATCTCCTTTTTCATCAGAGATATGACACACTGACTGATCTTCACTGAGCACAGGCTGAGTGTCCAACTGGCAAAACATAAAGGAGGATATAAAAAGACGACTCAGAGAGCAGCGTGCAAGCGGCTGAAACAGAGATGCACTTCCTGCTCAAATATAAAATTGCTCAAGCCCAGAGAAAGTCTGTTTCAGCCAAAATTTAAAGTGAAACGAGCTTTGTCCTTTAATTAAATCTACATTTGACAGTTTGCCAGTGGTGGACAGTAACTACATTTACCCAAGTACTGTACTTAAGTTCAAATGAGAGGTATTTGTACTTTACTTAAGTATTTTCTTTTCATGCCACTTTCTACTTCTCCACTACATCTCAAAGGGAAATATTGTACTTTTTACTTAACTGCCTTTATCTGACACCTTCAGTTACTAGTTACTTTACAAAGTAAGATTTTTACACACAAAACATATGTAGAGTTCAATTCGTATATTGATTGATAGGAATGTAATTTTGATGATTTTTAAATTCTGCTTATCATGTCAGCAACCCCTGACAAACACAACCATACTAATAGTACTTTTTACTATATATACCAGTATTTTTAAAAGTAGGTACTTGACTCAAGTAGAAATTTAAAGACTTCTACTTTTAGGGGAGTAATATTTAGTAGTGGTATCTGTACTTTTACTCAAGTACAGGATTTGTGTACTTTGTCCACCACTGCAGTTTGCACAACACTCGCTGCAGAGATAAAAACAAGATTTAGTTGCTCTTTGTTTGTGCATTTTACATCATGTTTGTATCTTATTGTAATAATTGTTGATACATATTTGTAGAACAGCATGTGACTGATGGAAACACATTATTCCTACAGAGACTATAACTGTGGGAGCACCACAGCAACAATGCAGTGACCTGCTATGTTGTATCGCCCTGAGGCGAGGCATGTTTCTACAGGCTACATTATTGATATCCTTGTTTATCATTATCCTTGACTTGTATTGTATCCATTTTGTTCAACTCAAATTTCAAATAGCTGTAAAGTCCTTATTTGTTATCCATCCTCAGGTACAAAGAGAGGTTGCAGACCAAGTATCTGAAAGCCCCAACAAGCAAGACTTCCTCAGTCGGCAGTTTTGTAAACGTGAGCCTCGATGACTTCAGTGATTGCTCGTCATTCTTATCAGGGGTCCAGGGAGGTGTCTCACCGGTTATTTTCCATGGCACTCCAAACCACGACTCCAGACAAAAGCCTAGAAAGTGCATCTCTAAGGAGCACGCTTGCTTCTCAAAGCAGATGACCCAAAAGCAGATTCGCAGAGAATATGTGGCTGCTGTGGAGGAAAGACTCAAACAGCATCCTCTCGCTATGTTCCCACACTATAAAGCTCACATGAAACCAGAGGTAAGTGGAGGGGACAGCAGTCTGGACTACCAAGGTTACATGAGCCAGCACAATGAGGCCAGGATGAATAGTTTACAGTATGCAGATGGATGCATGAGGCCTGAATGAAGCAGGACATTCTGTTTATCCTGTATTACAACTACAAACTGTATAAAAAAGGTTACAATGTATTTACAAGGTCTTCATTTCTCTGTAGTTATTTGATAAGGTGGTATCCGTGTTGGACCCCGAAATGTGCGGATACAGTGCCTCTGCACTCCCTACTCCTACAGGAAACCATGCGGAGGAGGTAGATGAGAAAAACTGTACAGAGCCAAGTAAGAAAGAAGTGGAAAGAGCAAAACATGGAACGTCTGCCAATAAAATGCAAGTACACTTGCAATTTGATGATTAATAGTATTAATATAATCTAAATTTGATCCATTGTTCACTTAACCTGATTGTGGAAAATAAACAAGCAATTCCTTTGTTGAAATAAAAGCTGAAATTCTGAGCTCGTCTCATACTCATCTTTTGATCTTAAACCCAAATGTCTTCAGTGAACAACAAAAACAAAGGAATTTGCCTTACTGTTCCAATACTTTTGGAGGGCACTGTAGCTACACATTACTTCTCAATTATTTTTAAGACCAAATCCAAGTCCCAGAAACCCTTATATGTTACAAATGAAAGGAAATGGTATCAAGAAAGGCCAGACAGACCAAGTGAATCAACTGGGAACAAATGAGGACATGAAAGTAGCCATCAAACATTACCAAAACTGGTTTGCCTCTCTGGTAAGAGCATGCGTGCCAGTTTAAATCACTAAATAAACCAAAAAGATAACTTAAAAATTGCGGTTTGTCAGATCTTACACGAGACTTTTGTTTGACTCTTGCAGGACGAAGAGACCAATGTCACTGAATCTGCCATATTGGGCAGTTTTGACAGTGGCCTTCAAGACTCTTCATTACCAACTTTCCCCATTCAAGTGGAGAACAGTTTCTCATGTCAAGAATGAAATCCAGCCACAAACAGCAGGACAGTTACATTTCAAAAGCCTCTGAGCCAAATGAAGTACAAAATGAGTAAAGTCCACCAAATCTAGAGCCCACAAATAGTAAAATATCATTTTTGATAGCTACTGGTAACTGAAACCCAAAACTGGGAAGAAAATGGCACAGATCAACCACTACAAGACCCAGGTGACATGTACAAAAGAAGCTGGACTTTATCCAAAACAAGTGATACGATCAGGACAACCTTCTGCCACCAAATCTCCAGACAATTCATGGCCCCTTCCCATCCATTAACCACGTGAAACAGGTAGTTTGTTGACAGAATGAGGAAATGAAACAGATGTATGAATGTAACCTTAGATGTCAGGAGTTGTGTAATACACAGTAGAATACCAATGCCAAGGCTATTAGTGAAGACCATACATTTAGAGGAGGGGTTTCAAAAGACCAGTGTACGAGTTTCACAGCATGTGTATACAGGAAATGCTGTTCAAAGCTGAACACTGAACAAAGAAGAGCAAAAGGAGAAGTGTGTCTGCAAGAGGTCACTTGTTCTCGCTGCAGTTTCTGAATAATCTTTTTTCTGAAGAAGAAAAAGGAAGTTTTTCCATACAAGGAACCCTGGATAAGTACATAAGTGTGTAAAGTCGTATGTTTACTGGGTGCATAAAAGTTAACCTGAACAGCCAATGTAGACGCTGCATGAATGATTCCTCCCTATTTGTATCACGCTTGTTACACTGTGTAGTAAATGTAAGCAAATAGACGATAAACACACAGTGTGCAAAATATCAATTTACTGTATATGAATTTGACATAATTCCTGGTGTGAAACAACAACTCAAACACATATTCAAAAATACTTTTTTATTTAAACAATAAATTACGTAAAATACACCTGATTAGTGATTTTATTTGACAAAACCATCCTTTGATAACTTCATCTGGGGAGCCTTTCAAAATACAAAAGGAGCTTTCTGAAAGACAAAACGTGAAGTAATTAAATAAATTGGGAATGGATTTACAGCAATTATGATCAATCAATAACATTTACATAATTTTATGAAAACTATGAAGTCTGTGTGCTGCTGAAGGACACAAGGGAACCTCTACTGTTGAAATGGATTGACCCATTACATCCTCGGACAACTGTCTGTCTTATCATTTGTTATTATTCCACTGTTAGTATTTGACTTTTGCTTGTTCTTCAGCTTTCCTTCTCAGTTTATATACAGCATGATATAGTAATATACAGCTGATACAGTATCTTCAACTCATTAAGACCTCTTCTAATCACTGCACACAGAAGATGTTTTTCTCTAACGCAAAGTTAAATGAGAGATATGATAAACTGTGTATATGTGATTTACAACATTAACAACTTACTGATGAGAGGAGCCCCGGGTCTGTTGTGTCGTGTCGTGACGGTCACTGTTGGCTGTTTGGGTCGGAGGTCAGGAGTAAGTGGACGGGTGACCTGCGGCCCAGTGAGAGCAGCTGTGGGGAGGACGTGTACCTCGCTGCAGTTGATATAACGCAGCCTAGAAAAGTCATTATGTATATGTTACAGAATTATATAATGATATTGACCACAAATAAGATACTGAAACTAATAAATAATCTAACACTTGACAAGCTGGAAAGAGAAAATAGTTTCCAGTTATGTTAAAAAAAATTAATAAAATCAACTACAAAAAGAGTTTTATTTTTTTATTGATCGACTAATTAATTAATGTTTCAATCTTGTGTTGTATGGCAGATGAGCACTGCATTTGTCATGGCAGTAACAATAAACTGAATAGAGTAGTTATGAAAACTCACTCTCACCGAAGGATTTGTTGATTGTTTTCCCGTTGAGCTCAGCTGTCTTCAGGAAAAGTGGCTCGCTGTATGCACAGACAGACACTCATTACATCACATTACACAGCCTGCAGCACTTTGCGGCTCCTTGCATGTTGCATGAGGGAGTAAAAGGTCATGGTGTGATGGTGTGACCATCTTGCAGCCTCATGGCAAGTCATGCTCAAAGCATCCGAACAAAAACAGAATTGGTCAGGTTTGGGTGCGCTCCCTACCTGCCGCAGGTTTTTCTTCTAAATCTGGAGCCAGCTTTTACTTCTTCAGCCTTGTCAGCGTTGCTGTAGGAGGCAGAGGAATATTAAAAAGGGTGAGACATTGCACAAGAACATATCACAGTCCAGGAGTCTTTAACAGATAACTTAGACACTAAAGAGTCTTTAAACAAGGACAACAGCTTTTCTATTCTTTTAATAGTGTATTACAGCACAAGCAGTAAAACACCGTGTGGTAAATGAAGGCACTCATATATGGATCCCTCCTCCTCCTCCTCCTCCTCTCCACTGACTTCCCGCTCACTTAGTAGCATCACATGATTTTCATATGCACCCTGAACTAGCCTAAGAACGAAGCTAATCCTGCAGTGTGTGGGAATACAGCCAGACGTACAATGTGGTTCGGTGTACTCTCTCCGGTGCAGACCTCCTCCTGCTGCCGGCAGCGGCGCTGGTGTCTGTGTGTGGTCTGCAGTTCTCCGAAATCACTCCTCGCAGCTCTCTGACGAGAGACCTGAGCTCCCGGGCGGGGCTCTCCTGCTGCCTCTTTGATTTCAGCAGCCAGAAGAGGAGAGCAATGTCAATGAGCTGCTGCGGTCATGCCAATATCTTATAAGTTGCTGGTCTGATTAGTTTGCATTTGAACAGGAACTACAGACTACAGGGCAATCTCACAAAATCACTTTCTGTGACAACAAGATCTTTTTTATCATGCAGTAAGAACACATAACTCTGTATTAGCACTGTGACTGTATAATACTGTGGCTGTGTTGAAATGATTTACAGTAAGCTTTCCTCCTTGCCACAGGAATGTAAAATTTCGTATGCTTTTGATTTTAAAGCCCAGCAGAAGTGCTGAGCTTGTGTCTGTGTAGCAAATAAACAATGATTCACACATGTACTTGACGGGCTGGAACCGTAGGAGACAGGAGAGATGTAGGGAGTTCCTGACTGTACCGTAATCTGTGTGTTGGAGGCGTGCTGGGAAGAAGGTGGAGTGGTGAGTACAGCTGGTGATGGGAAGTCCAGGTCAAGTGGAGGTACGTTCAGAGGTGTGTTCAAATTCTGACCTTGAAGCTCCTCCAGAGTAGATAAAACTTGTTATAAATCAAGTTTTGTTGGAGGGTGCTCAGTTCCCATTAAAACTGAAGGTCAGAGAGTAAGTCTGACTAGATCAAGACATTCTAATCAAACATGCATGATGACAAGAGAACAGCCTTGCATAAGCATTACATATTTCTACATATAAGTATACTGTGTATAGGGTGGATAATGTCATAACGTCCCTGTTACAAAAAGATTCTTTGTATGTAATCAGCTCTACCTTCAAGTCCAGGGCATGTTGGAGTTTGAGACGGAAAAAGTCCTGCTCCTGCAGCTGGATGAAATCTTGACAGTCTGTAAATTTCTCTGACATCTTTGGGAATATACAGAGCATATGAAACCATAACACAGTTACGGACACACAAACAGAGATAGAACAGGACTGATAAGGTTTTTTTTTAGATTTGTTTTTAACTTGTTCTGAGAGATAACAGCTGTTTTGGGGAAAAGTGACGCCAAAACTTGCAAAATTAAAAGATAGTAACCCTCTGGAGTTATTCAGATATTAATGTTTCTGTTTTAAGACAGTTGCTAATTATGAGCCCATGTGTAATACCTTTTCTAACTGTATATTATTTTAAATAATTATGTATTAGACATTTTATGCCTTTATTAGAGTCTTGAAGAGTATTGAAAATGAAATGCAACAAATCTCACAAACTGGGCACAAACGGCTGACGTTGCTGTTCATGGTCAGCAATGACCATGCACTTTTAAGACTTTATATTTTAGTACTAATTTTTTTGTAAATTTGTAATCTTCATTGTTCATTATTCTTCAAAAAATATTGATGTGTAATGTTCTTGGTCAGTCACCATCTTATCCAGGCTTCTCTAAACAGCATCTCTCTTTTGGTGGTAATACACTGCTCAAAAAAAATAAAGGGAACACTTAAACAACACAATGTAACTCCAAGTCAATCACACTCCTGTGAAATCAAACTGTCCACTTTGGAAGCAACACTGATTGACAATCAATTTCACATGCTGTTGTGCAAATGGAAAAGACAACAGGTGGAAATTATAGGCAATTAGAAAGACACCCCCAATAAAGGAGTGGTTCTGCAGACCACTTCTCAGTTCCTATGCTTCCTGGCTGATGTTTTGGTCACTTTTGAATGCTGGCGGTGCTTTCACTCTAGTGGTAGCATGAGACGGAGTCTACAACCCACACAAGTGGCTCAGGTAGTGCAGCTCATCCAGGATGGCACATCAATGCGAGCTGTGGCAAGAAGGTTTGCTGTGTCTGTCAGCGTAGTGTCCAGAGCATGGAGGCGCTACCAGGAGACAGGCCAGTACATCAGGAGACGTGGAGGA